GCGACGTAAGTTGCGCGGAAACGGAACTCAATAGGCACAAAATCTAAGTATCTGATGAGCGGAGAAAAAGCAGCAGAAAAAGCAGTCCGAAATGTTATAGAGAAAGATAACATAGTGGCTACTAGCTAGTAGCTAGCAGCCGGTGAGGTCGGCATGGGCCTAAGGGGTGTCCATGGGCCTAATTAGTCAGCTTCTAGCGGAGTTCTTGCCTTCTTCACCTGTTCTGAAAGTAGCCGCAGCCCCTAAAAAAATCGCCTACCTATCGCCGACACATATTTGAGACGGTCATAGCCTTATTTTATCGCGGAATGTGCCTTTAAAGAAGGCTTACTCGATTCCCGAAAGGCACACTTCGGCGACGGGGTGGCATTTTTCAGTTTCGCCCCTCCCTCCCCCTTGCTTCGCTAGTACCTTTAGTTTCGCTTTGGTGAAACCTGTGAACTCTTATGAAGATGAAGCGATTATCGAGCCACCATGGTAAAAACTGTCAACTCTTGTGAGCTCATGAAATAGCTCTGAAACGTCGATGGGAAGTGGACAAAGCTACAAAATCCTCCCCATCTCCCTATGCCGCCGAACTGCTTCGGAATATTTCCCTCAAAAATTCACGTGAATCGTAATGACTGAGAACAAAATTCCAGTCCACAACAAGCGAACTCATTCTACCTCCCAATATGGCCGAAACCATCGGCCTCATGTTTATGTATGTTTATGTGAAGCTAGTGAGTGAGAGTTAGTTGTGGGGGAGAGAGGAGTGGGGCGGGATGAGAGGGGTATGATCTCTTCAAAATCTACTGCACAATTTGTTCCTAATGCTGTCAATCAAAAGTCGTTTTCAAAAGATCCTTCTGTTGTATTTTTCGCCAATAAGCACTCAAAAACTCATAGCTGCCCCCTCATCCGGCCCACTCAGAAAATTAATGAGTTGCGTTGAAACCACAAGAACGGTTTCCAAAGCAAACTTTGCTGCTCACCCTGTAATTTGCTGTCTTTTTAGAATCCAGGTCTTTGCTTTTTTAAAAAATAGTCTTACGCAAAAGGAAACTTCAGTGTGAAAATATGCTCATCTGCTGGGGTTCCTCAGTCTCAGGATACCACTAAGCCTTCCCTTTCTTTTGCCCTTCCTCATTTCCTTTTCCTCCTACTCCTTCTTTAAGGAATAGTTATGCATCGTCATGTGGGGGCCTGCCGATGCATAACTCTTCCTGGTTCCCCCCTGGTTGACTGGCCTGTAGTTTCTCCCCCCCCCCCCTCCGGTCAAAGTCCACGAATAGCGCGTATTTTGTGATCATTGGGTTATCTTTCAGAATTGCAAGCACAAGAAGTTTACCAAAACAATTTTCCAAGTTATTGATAAGATCTTCGCCATGACGAAAGGATCAGACATCATAGGGTTGCGGGCAATGGACAACTATAGCGATCGAAGTCGATGGGTAAACAGAAGAAATCGTGCTGATCGATAAAAAACTCGATAATGTAATTATCGAAGTGAATTATTGCATTGTCAAACTATAGTTACATTTTGTGTGAAGCCCATTATATTGTATGTAATGGGCTTCACACAGAAGCAAAAAGCGCTTGGAGTCAATAAGGCAGCCCTCAGGATAATGTCCCGGGTAGGATTACTCTCAGGGCAACCAAGCCTTTTACCCTCCGGGACAGTAAATTGGTACCAAATTCGCCCTGGGGGATACGAACACTGACTTCTTCATGAACTGGCCCCCGCAAGTCATATATAGAACACATCGCACTCCACTACTATCCTGAATGGAAAATACCTGCCATATTCCAAAAATTGACCAACGGCGAAGACTTTATCTCTTATTCTACGTGTTAGGCCCAGGTGATTTGTAATAAAATTCGTTCCATGGCTAAATTGCAAAACTGGTCGGATCCTAAGAAGAGCTGCCGGGATTCCAATCAGAACTCTGAAAGGCTACCTGATTTCCCTTTTCTAACTTTTCAGGTGAGAATAAAAGTCCCCAGGATAGTTTGAAGTGGAGCAGGCTTCAGAAGCGGATCGGATAGCCACTTTTTGGAAAGATATGGAATTCTTTCGTACCTTGGACGCCCGTTCGCGCAAACACTGGTTGCCAGCTCGCCTAGGGCTACACAAAACAAAGTGCCACAGGAGACAAATCATTTCACAGTACCTGTAGGAAACTGACAACTGATGCTTACTTACTTGTTGGCTTTCTTCTTTACAGCTGCCTGCTATTATTTTGCCCTACTTTTACAACTTTTGTTGGTGCTACATACAGGGGGGCAATAAAAAAGTCACTTTTCTTCCTTGACTTTCGAGGCGCTATAAGTTACACTTTATTAAATTCTGATCGGACATTTCCACCACCATATTGAAGAGCATATTAAATACTATCATGACACTCCGCCACAGCCTTCTGGACGAGCGCCATCGAGAGATTCTGGCACGCGACCGCGATGTGGTGCCTGAGATCAGCGAGTCGATTTCTCCGCCACCGTAGACCACCCTATTGAACTCCGCCCGAACCGGGTAATTGAGGGGATTCAGGTCAGGTGACCTACTTGGATATTCCATCTTCTTTAGGTACTCAACCTTCCATTCCAAGTAGGCGAGAGTTTTTCCAACGCCCTTCGATTCCATGTGGTGGCACCCAATGCTGTAGCAGTACAAAGTTTCCAAGAAGGTACGACGTGAGGAGGATATTCTTCACGAGTTGCTCGATGTAACCGCCAGCGCTCACCTTCAGTCCGGGGTCCACGAAGAAAATATTGGTCTTTCCATTCCAGGTACGTCCGGTCCATACCATCAACCCGCGCCTTGGCGACTGTGGTGAAGATGATGTCCTAGACCGTGGCGACGTTGTCGGAGCTGCTCGATGTTGGAGGTCATCCAGATCGAGAGTACTGGTCTCCAGGTAGCCATGGGTGACTCCATACTAGAAGTTTCGCAGCTGTTTGGAGGTGACGTGAATTTCAAAGGTCTTCTCCAGTCAGACTGCTACTGGAGATGACTTCATATTTTGGTGTACATGAAGCTGATGGGCAAGAGCCAGCTCCTGCACATCTTGGGTATCTTCCGCCCTGGTACTCGTATCCACGTCCTCTGTCTGGGCGAAAACTTTGCTGATATGTGACTCGGTCGAAGTGACTTTTTTATTGCCCCCCCCCTGTATATGTTTCTGCTTTTTTCTTTTCCATGCAACTTCATTCCGAATCGCAGTGGCTTATTGATGGAACGTGACCTTGCAAGGCTTGTGGGGGCCAGCTGATGCACAACTCGGTGTTCCCATTCCTGGAAGAATCTGATTATCCCCGGTAGAGGGCTTCGAGTGGGAGCGTAGCAAGTCTCCCGGTGAGGTTATCCAGCTACAGTGGGTTTTCGCGGCCCCAATGGATTATTAGAGAGATTCCAGGGCTGCGTTCAATATGAATGATTGATTTATGTATTATTCATTGGCGAATATATGATTTTTCCACTTACATAATGCCGTGGAGCCTTATGAGGATATTTCTTTCAAGAAAATGTGGAATTTTCTGAGTCATAATTGCAAAAAGTTGTTTCGACTTTTCGAGATGCTCTGATTCATTTCAGAAATCCAGTAGGGTAAAACCATACTAGAGGATCAGAGCACTTTATAAGACATTTTTATCGCCTCTTGGAGATACATGTAGCGCTTGCGACCTCACGTTTCGGGAGACTGAAGCCTATCCGGAATCGGGAGGCCGGGACCGTGCGCGTGGTTCCGCCCGCTTGGTCTATAATAAATTTAAGTACAGCTTACTATTCAGATTTATTTCAGTGCAAAAATGTGTTCGCACAGTAATTCCGTGGCGTGTTACTGCAATTAACTGAGGCCTATAAAGGAACCCAGACTTGAGCACTAAACGAATCCGGCTAAAAAATGTAATTATGTTCAAGGAACGATGAGTCAACACTGGTTTCTGATCGTCAAATCCCAGACGACGAGATCACACAGTGAGAGTGCTTTTCGAAAGTTGTTTTCCGTCTGCTAAGGGTATCCCCAGCCCGGGCAAAGTCCAGGAATACCGTGACGGCATGTATTTTGAGAATCGTCGTGGTTATTTTTAGAATTATTAGTCAGAAGTTTTGCAAACAAATCTTCAAATTTAATCGATAGAACTTCGTTGTGACGAGAAGATCAGAGTTCATAGGGCTGTACACAATGCAAATATAGATGACATCAGATGAACAATGATATCATTCGATAGGTAAATCGATAAGATGTTTATGGGTTACTGTGCTGGACGTTACTGATAGACTAAGTCAGCGCTAAAAATGCTGTTTCAGACTGTCAGCCGGACGTATCCTCGGTGCAAGGGGTATATTCTGATGGTAAGTACTGGCCGGGCAAAAGGGAACGGCCGGGTAGAAGGAAGGGGCCGGGTAGAAGGAAAGTGCCGGGAAAGGGAGGAAAAGAGAAAAGAAGGGAGGGGAAAGGAGAAGAACAAAAAACAAGGAGGAGGAGGAAGGCACACGGATGACTGCCTCCTCAGGCGGCGCTGAGTAAAACGTGGTCGTTCTATGTGATTAATCCTAGCAGACTGTCTGAGCAAGCTAAATATAGCCTGCAGACGTTGATAGACAATTTCGTTGCTTTTTCTAGTAGGCTTAGCTTTTACTATGTAGTATCACGTGCTGCCAATCGAAATAGGCGCAAAGGCAGTAAACAATATACGGTAAGGGACAGAGAGCAGCCGAGCCGATCGGCACCACGTAAACATCCCGCCCCTTGGGCACCAATCATTCCCTATATAAACCCCGACGGCCAGCAGCAGTATAGCTTGTGAGACTTCCATCCCTCTCTAGTTTGTTGATTCTATCTCTTGTTTCTTGCTTGCCAACTCTCGTATACTGGTCTCAGCAGTTGTAAAGCTTCCTCGTTTCTTGCTTGCCACCTCTCGTATTCTGGTTCTCAGCAGTTGTAAAGCTATTCCTCTCTTGGCTAAGGTCTGTCCAATTCCAGAAATCAATCACTTCTAATACAAACATTCGCAAAATGAGTCACGATTGTCACGATAGCAAAATGAGTCACGATGCTCACGATGTAAGTCTCTAGTTAATTTTCTAAGTTATTTTGTCCACTGTGAACTTCTTAACTAAGCGACTTCAGACCGGAATTTTGGCTAGCGCTGGTCACGTCGCCCAGGAAATCAAAGACGTAACTACCGAGAAGTTATACAATGCTGGAGCGGCTGTGAAGGACACCATTGCATCTGGTGTCGAAAAAGTGAAAGAGACGGCAGTTCTCGGCCTATGAAACGTATTTCCCACTCGTTTTAAAAGTTCTTGCTCCGTATTGTTTTACATTGTTCTTTAAGGTTGCCGGCACCGCCCAGGAAAACTACGACGCAGCTGGTAGGAAGTTGGACCAAGCTGGTAACAAGTTGGAAGAGCAGAAGGACCACCTCGGTCGAAAAGGTCGACGAGGGTACGATTTTTAAAGGCGTATGGATATGAAAGGAGGAGCGCGAAGACCCAAGGCGTACGGGACATGAAGGAGGGTGCGAGAAAACAGGCATATTGACGGTGAAGGAGATGTGCGAATAAGACACCAAGGCGCATGACGTGAAGGAGACGGCGAAGGACAAGGTAGGGATGAGTTTGTTAGGCCCAAGCTTTTCCGGTAGAAATGCCGAGGTAAAATTAATTGTTTAGACCGATGACGCTCGAGACTACATGGGCAAGAAAATGCACGAAGGAGCCAACAAGATCCAAACTTAAGAAGGATCTCATTTTCTGTACATTCTTGTATTTAACGAGTTATGTGTAGAGGTTAAGACGCTTCGTTTGTACGCGAAGCTCCAGTTGAAGCTTACGGATAGATTCGAGCCAAAGCCTAACTAATCGTATTTCTTTTTCTTTTTACATTGTGTTGTGATAAGCATGAAATAAAAGTTAGATTCGGATCAAACTGTTGGACAGGAAGAGAGATTCCTCATTCATCTGACTGCGAATGAGCATTCTTAGCATAATTGCGTTACAGGAAAATTTGAGGCCAGGTCGATTTAGTGTTACTCGGGGCGGGGGGGGAGCCTCTTTACTCAAAGAAGAGCAGAGAAAGTAGGCCGCCGCGCTGAACAGTGATCAAAATCACAACAAAATGGCAGTTTTTGAGTATTACTGAGATGAAAAACGGGACGAGCTTCACGAGAGTGCGAAACAGATTGTCTTGAATATGAAGTATGTCCTGGCGAGCCATCGAGTATGAAGGAAGACGAATATTGTTGGTGGTCCCACGATATTGGGGTGTAGAGCTGGCTACTTTCTGTACGGACAAGCCGTGCCCGTGCAGGGCTTGATCAGAGAAAATATTCAATTTCTTCCTGTGGTTTTAGGTTGTAGACACTGGTGAATGGACGCGGACATATCTGAAAAAACTCGAGATAGCAACTACCAAGTCGAAAATATAAGGGAAGCAGTGACGTTGTTTTTATGGTCTACTGTCGTGTTAGTTACTTGTTATTGCAATAGCTCCTCTGGTCAGTGTAATTATTGTCAACGTTAGGGAAGTACACCCTCTTTAGCAAACAGTTGTGAAATTTCCTTTGGAGCCAATGAATGGGGCATGCGGCACTGCATGTTCAAATGGACGAGTTAAGATGTAATATAAGCATCTGCCTAAATAGTTATATACAGCAAATTAAATAAATAAGCAAGGGAAATAAGTAAACATATTGAGCTGAAGACTTATGACTTGGAGCCTTATGAACTATCGCAGCAGTACACATCTTATTGCCCGTGTGTCTAACACACCACGCTGCAAACCCCGGTTGTTGGCCTTCACAGATTTCCCTATCGCCTGCGCTGGCTCCAGAATGGGTGTGAGTAATTGGCGCGACACGGCCGCCGCTTGGGGCGGGCGCACCCGCCCATTGGAGAGTCTCTTTGTGAAGCCTGCATTGTGTGCTCTGCAATGTTATCTTCCCATGCCACATCCATGATGAGTTCTTTATTACCTGTAGGCGAATTTTCACGTAAACACCACAACACTGTAAACTATCAAGATACTTCGCTCACATCCTTCTGGACGAGCGCCATCGAAAAATTCTGCCAACAGAAACGTGATTGTGCCTCAGTCAGCGAAGTCGTTTGTTTTCTACGCCACCTAGACACCCTGCTGAGCTTCTTCCGAACCCTGTAATCGAGGGGGTTTAGGTCAGGTGACGCACTTGAAATTTTCCGTCTTCTTCATATACTCCACGCCCTTCCATTACGAGTAGGCAAGAGCTTTTCGATTTCATCGGCTGGAACCTAATCCTGTAATAATACGAAATTTCAAGATGCTACTGTCGACCACATGAAGGCAGGAAATTCCCCTCGAGTTGGTCGATGTAGTCGATGTAAGCGTTAGCGTTCACTTTCAGTCCGGTGTTAGAATACCGGTCTTCTCATTCCAGGAATCCCCGGTCCACACCATCATCGCGCCTATAAATTTAAATTAATTAAAACTAAATAATTTCACACGTGAGCTTTTTCTACATGTTTTCTCTTTTTGTCCTATTTCTTAGCTCCTTCCCCTGTGTAGTCCATGTCCATGTCTTCAACCCTGTCGTACTGACGAGCCCGGGGGTTGGTAAGACTTCGATGATTCGTCTACGACACCGGGCGAAACGGATCATCTGTGCTGTGGAGTGTATGCATTTCCCCAATGTTTGTTTTTCTTTGTTTCTAATTGGCGTCCGCGCTGAAGGAGACATCCGTAGACCAGTAGCTAGTTGTCTGAACTGCTCGATATTAGAGGTCCTCCCAAATCATAGGTCTCTAGGCTATGCATTGGGTTGTACTCATGGGGGTAAACTGAATTCCAAAGGCCTTTTCCAGTCAGGCTACCATTGGAGATGACTTCATATATCGGTGGTGTACATGAAGGTGATGGGGAGAGCCTGCTTTCTGCTTATCGGCTTGAGTACCTTCCGCCGTGGTACTTGTATGCACTTCGTCTCTCTGGGCTGATAACTCTGATAATATGACTCGCCGAAGTGTCCTTTTTTGGCCGGCTATCTCTTACGCACGTACTACTTCTGGTTTATGTAGTAATGTTATACTCAAAATCGAATAGGAACACGTGGCCTTTGTGGTAGTTTACTTTGGAATAACGTATTTCTGATTCGGTCGCAGAAAGAAGTTGTAAATCTAAGGCGCTTGCCGCCGAACTTTGCGAATGTATCCCACCCAATATACAAGAATTGCTCACGTTTGTGTTTGTTCGTGTTTGTCTGTCTGTCTCTGTCTGTCTGTCGCGAACTTGTCTGGCCTGCCTGTTCCGGCAATGCGGTTCTACCCGAGACAACTAGCCGAGAGCCCAGCCAAGTGTTTGATAGTGTCGCCTAAGACAAATCCCACAGTCCTGCTCCGATCAGCCGCCATGCTGGCGAAGCAAAGTGAAGTAAGAGGTCACGAAGGGCTAAAAGACGCATGTCGACGGGAAAGACACGCTGAATTCGCGGCGGTGCGGCGGGCGCGTTAGTCACAGACCCGAATTCTGGTCCACGAGGAGAGTTTTTTAGAGACTGGCAGTAATGAAACCACGAGAGAGCTTAGAGACTGCAAAAAAGCCAGCGGAGAAGATAGACTCCTAGTGAGAGTCGAGCATTTCTGCGAAGCGTAGAGACCTGCCTACCGTAGTCGGGCGTTTCCTCAAGCAAGTACTCCTTTCAAAAAATTGCAGAGGTTCCAAAGCACCGCGTCAGTGTGGTAATTACAGCTGGGAGGGTTTTCCTGTTCAGAAATGCTACTCGTTGTGGGCGGAGCGTGCAGCGACGATCTGGAGAAGCACAAGGATCTGTAAAGTTTCCAGAGCACTTCCCACACCGACAAAAAGTGAGCAGCCATACGCAGGAGCTCCACTACTGAAAACAGATAGACATGATCATTGTCGCTGAAGCTTGTGTCGAGGTGGGTGCGTTGAAAGCCAAGAATTCGCAAATCTCTGCAGACGAGCATAGGAAACAGGGACAAGCGACAAGCGAATCGAGGCCCACAAGGGGCTAATGGAGGAAATGCAGGAGACATCCTCAAAATGGGCGGGCTATACTGAAAATGGGTGTTGCTTGCCACGATATCTTATAAAAAGGACAGGGGAGTTTGGATAACGGAAAAGTCGTTGGAGAAAAGTAATTCAAAGGACGGGGGGAGGGAGAGAGTTGGGTATCTATAGCATGTTGAGTCCTGCGTACAGCGGGCGGAGTGTGCCCAGAAGCACGAGGTACCCAGTTTAGGTTTTTACATCAGCATCATCAGCCATAGCCCCAATCTGTTGTAGGTACATTTGATACCAGTAAACTCGCCATAACGCCAGAGCGCATCCTTTGCGAACCTTTTCGTATGTTTGAATGCTCGACCCGGCTTTTCTGTCATCTGTACACTTGATCAGCGTCCTTCAGCACGATTCCATTTACGGTTAAAGGTTTGAAAATAGCAGGTATGGTGTTGTTGGTCGAGGAACGTCGATCATCTGTACGGAGAAATGAAGCCGGAGTTTAAATGAGTTTCCAAACGTGCGAGTTTATGAGTTTCCAAACGTGCGAAAGAAGAACGACTTCGCCGCGCTTGTACGGCAACACCGAGGAGGATCACTGAAGGGGCGCGCCGGTTCCTCTAGGTAATTCTAGCCTAGACAGTACTGCCTCGACTCTCAAACGTCACTCTGGCAGCCAAATAGAATGCTATTATAGTAAAAATGTAAACAATGGGCAGAGACACCGAGTCCCGTTCGTCAAACCAGAGACGACGAGATCACATGGTAAAAGTGTTTTTCAGTTGTTTTCCGTTTGCAGGGGTGTTCCCCAACGCGGGTAAAGTTCGGGAAAGAAGGTGACAGCATGTGTTTTGTAGGTCGTTGTACCTCCTACATAGTTTTCCAAAGAACGAGGTGATCCAGAGTTATAGGGCTGTAAACAATGCAAGTCATTGATTGAGTCAGTGCGATCAATTACGGTAATTGATGAGTAAATTGATAAGTTCAGCGAGCTACTCTGCTGGATTGATGTCCTGTTCAGCGCTGCAACCCAACGAGGGTACTTCTACGAGGCAGACACCGCTGGCTCTATGTGATGAGCCTTATAAGATTGCCTGAAGTGTCCATATTTAGCCTTTGGGACACGATGAGCAATTTCGTTGTTTTTTCTAGCATGCTCAGGCTTTTCCTGTTTCGTCTTGGGTGCCACCAACAGGGCCCTTCACGAGTTGGGATTTTAGTCGAGTCGTACTCCCCCCCTAAAAAAGTTGGTACCATTATTTTACGGTTGCGGTTTCTTGTTTTTTTTCCACCGCACGTCTTGCTTCTAGGGATTCCGAGGAAATACGACCCCCTGATTATCTGTCAGGGCACATCATTAGGTGGGGAATTTGGTCGAGTCAGTACGACCTCCTAGTTGGCTTGGTGAGACCCCCTCCTTGATTCCCTCCTCGTTAAGCTGCCGAACGGAGCCTAGCACATGTG